AGGAACTTTCTGGGCAACTTAAAAGAATAAAGAAATGTAAAATATAGTCAAAGTAACACACACACACATACACACACACACACATTTCAAATCTTTAATGATCAGAGAAAGAGAAACTTTTCAGCACTAAATGGATGAAGAAACAGTGAAAAATCTATAGCAGTAGAAAATTGCATCGTTGTTCACATCTTATTTTAAAATTTTTAAAAAATTAAAAATGCTGTGCCCAGTGCTAAAAGGACATTGGAGTAGTTGTTGGATTGGCCTCTTTAACGAGGGCATTCCTTAATTAAGGTCCATGCTCATCGTCCTTTTCTCTTACAGACACTCAATGTACCTCACTCGTTGAGCAGCATTCAGAAAAGGGTTTTGGATGACAATCTCATGGTTGGGTAGTTACACATGGGGAGAAATTATCCTTCTGATACCAAGAACCCTAGTCATGAAGGCCTTTAATCAAAAATAGCTTTTAAAAGTTAGGCCTAGAAATGAACATGATACTAGTAGATGTCAAAGTATTGGCCTGATAGGTTCATAATGTAGGGTGGATAGCCATATTCTGTACCAGCTGAAGCTTCTGAGCCACTTTCAAGAACAATCCCATGCACAAAACACTATCCAGGTGCAAGTACTGGAGGATAGTTCTAGTGGGGAATTTTATATATTAAGTAGCAAAATGTCCCTCATTATGATATGCAAGATATATGGAATGATGGGATTCTGACTCATCTCCTACAAGTTTCCTCTCATTGATGGTCAGGTCACTAAATGCCTACCATGGTAGACAGCAGCACTCAAATGCAACATCAAGCTCATTTCCTATTTTCAGAACTGAATAGTGGGCATATTCACTTACATAGCAGAGCAAAAGCATTGAAATAAAGGAGTATTCTATTCCTTGTTCCTGGTAGCCCAACCATTAAAGATGAAAGCCACCTATTTTCATTGGCTTACTTGGGCAGCTTCATAGCCACTTCCTGGGTTCCATTTATGGATTACAGCATAAAAACTAGCTTTTATAAATGAAACGTGGAGCCACTGTATTTCACAATGCTTTTAATGGCATCCCTATAGCCTGATGTTTTACTAATTTTCTGCCATTTAACTAGTTTTGACTGTTAACATTACAGGCTTGTATGATACCGTCTGTTTTACTGTTTTTGCTGTTAACTAGTTCTGTTTCCTCTCTGCCATATAATGTCTCTGTTTTTATGATTATATTTACAGTTTTACATGTATATGTATGATTGACTTTAGGAACTGGTTGTAATCCGAAGTATAAATCCATCTTGTGAAATCATGTTGCAAAGTGGAAAGTAGAAATGAAGCATATAAATACTTAACTTAAATGAATCAATAAATACAAAGGAAAACTGAGGTAAATTATGTAACAGGGATTGATTAAAGATTTTACAGGAATATTTAGAGCCATATCCAGAATGAGGTATAAATCTTCATAAGCACCAACGGATTAAAATACATTTTTATTTCCATTTAGCTGTTCTCTGAATTTAGAACTTCAGCTGTCTCTGAATTTAAAATATTTCCTTCATGGGCATGCCAGCAATGGTAATTCCCATGAACATTTCCCATTTAACTTCTTGAAGACTAATTATGGACATTCCCATGCTTTTGGAAACTCATTTTGATGCTATGGTCTACTATTTTGGTCTGAAATTTCATACAGAAATATTAAATGATTTTGAACCATTGGAAAAGTCAGTTGCTAGCAGAAAAAATCTTTATGCAAGGATGAGTAAAAAACATCACTGGAAAGCATTCATCCAAATGTCCAAGACTGCATGCAACATGTTGCTTAGCTGTGGATCTGTAAAAGTAATTTTTCTAAGTTTTGTTTGATTTGGATTGGATCTAAAGCAAACAGAACTTTCAAATTACTTACTGGAAGGGGAACTCTACACAGATAATAATGTTTTAAATGTTGGTGGAAAAATATTCTCAAGATTTGGGAAAGTTCCTTAGTTAAAATTTACACCTTAACTCTCTGTTTCCCCTTAATTATTATTCAAACAATTTGTACAATTTAAAGCAAGTTGCATGTCCTTCATACCCATTTTGCTTTTTTTTATTTTTTTATTTTTTATTTTTTTTCGATTTATATCCTGCCTTTTTCCTCAAAGGGCTCAAGGCAGCCTACATCATTCTCCTCCTCCATCTTATCCCCACAACAACAATCCTGTGAGGTAGGTTGGGCTGAGAGTCTGTGACTGGCCCAAAGTCACCCAGTTGGCTCCATGGCTGAGCGGGGACTCGAACCTGGATTGTCTGAGTCCCAGTCCCAGTCCCATGCTCTTAACCACTATGCCACACTGGCTCTCTGTCTTTTCAGTGACAGGCAGTGGACTACAACAGTAGCATCGAGTTAAAATCCGATATTTTATTTATATGAACCAGCACAGCAGCTTGTTGCATGAGTTTATGTCTAATAATACTGTAATGTCACTATAGAGTAAAGCTACAATACTTCCATTACATATCACCTTGAAAAAACCCCAGTGTATTAGATGGATTACTCAGCAAGCACAAGGTTGGGCTTCATGTTTTGCAAATAATATCCCCTCCCCATCAGAACTCAGTGAAACTTATTTATCTGTGAACATGAACAGATTTGCATTGTACAACATATATCCTTATGCAAGATCATTTTGAACCCCTGTCACCAATGTTACTCATTATTAATGTATTAATAGCTGTTTTTGTAAATCTGTTCATTCTTCTATTTTTTCAAAGGTGTAAAAAGGGCTACCAAAATGTTCAAGGGGCTTCCCCTAAGAGGATAATTAACAACATCTGGTGCTTTGATAGAAATATGTAAAATTATGCATGGTCCAGAGAAAGTAGACTGAGAGAAGTGTGTATACTATCATAATACTACAATGAAGGGTCCTCTAATATAGCTGAATGCTCGGAGATTCAGGAAAGAGAAGAAATACCTCTTTATATAGCAGCTACTCAAAACTGTAGACTTTGCTACCTCAGCATAACCACCATCTTGGATGTGCATTATGCATAATAGTAGAGGTTAAGGGTACAGGTTATGATGGCTATATATTATCTCCAGAGTCAGAGGCATTATGTCCTTGAATACCAATTGCCTTTCTATTACAGGTGGAAAGGGCTGTGTCCTTTGGGTCTGGCTTGTGGACTTCTTGTGGGCATCTGGTTGGCCATGTGGGGACAGAAGATAGGGTTTGATCAAATCCAGCTGGGTGCTTCTTAAGTTAATAGCTTGACATATGGCACTGAAAATTATGTGCAATTCAGCCATATACAGTTGAATTCCACTGAAAGTGTTTATTGAAAGTATTCAATGGAAAGGCAAACAATGACTTTTGAATCTCATTAATTTCAGTAGCCCATGCCTGATTTCTCTGGATTGTACAGTTTGCAATGTATGTTTTCTCTATTAAATTCATTAGCCGGTATCTATTGTTATTATGCCTATCAGTATATTAACATCAGTAAGCAGGCTGGTTGGCTCTATCCCCATGGATTAGGTTTTTTAAAATTTGAAGAATAGTGCCTCTGTCATATGAACCCTACTCTAATCCTAGAGTTTGAGACTACCCGTACACCCCCAAATACCAGGCTTTCTATTAAGACAGAATACAGGCTGAGGAAGAAGCCTGTCCAGGCATGTATTGGCTTCAATAAAGCCTTGAATTGATAGCAGCACTTGTCAAGAGGAAGCATCCAGCCTCATGATAGCTCAGTATCTTTTATAAACATTATTGTCTTTCTCATTAGTATTATAAATCCATCATAGTCTTGTGGTCATGAAAAATAACTGTACTGGGTGAGGGGTCAGCAAAATAATTCAACAATTCCAGCTCCTTTTGACAGCAGCATTTTGGAGTACTCATGTATGAGCTGCTCCAAAGATTACCTGGCTGATGGGGAGCTTGTGGTTGTTGAGGAGCAACTGTGCTCCATATGCAAAATGACATTGCATTCCCATGCATTGGCCAAAAGTAATAAAGCCAGGTATCTGCATGACTGGCAATAGGGAAACTGAGAGACCTGCACAGATGGAGAAATGGTCTACTGGACAGCTTTTCTATGTACGCGGCCATGCATGTGGCAGAGTGACAGGCTGCCACACACAGGGCAAATAGGGACAAACCCCTCCCAACTCTAAATGTAGATGCAATGCATAACCATCTCTGTCCCGGGAATGATTTTTCCACAGGCAGTTCTACTTTCATGCAATGTCTTGTTGCACATCAGTGTTTCTCAATTAGGGCCCAGTGTTTACACTTGGGGGAAGATATATTAAGCTTGTTTGTAAGGAAGCAAATTTAAATTAGCGTGTTGATGCTACTTTTAAATGCTTTTAATGAGGAATGATTTCCTATTCAAAAATGCTACCTATAATAATGCCCTATCTTTCCCATACTGATTTTCACATGCATTTTAAAGCATCCATTCTTCTAAACAGGATTATGATACAGGTTTGACAATCAAGATTTGAGCATTCAAAGGGGAGGAAATGTGGGCACAAGCGCGCAATCCTGGTGATGAGGGAAGATCCCTTCCCTTTTTTATACTATTAAAATGAACCCAGTGGTCCGAAACAGGCAGGAATCTTGCAATATACAAGTTGCTGCTATGCATTCTAGAGTTGGAGGGCTTGTCCGCAAGATCCAGCTGGTAAATGACTAATTCTAGCTGAGTTCTTGAGCAGATGCCAGTAGCACCTTTCAAGATGTTGTCATGTGCTTGTCATGTGCAACTGTTGCCACTGAAAATCTGCCTTCTATATTTCAGGGATTGTATGGAATTATTCCATTACTTATGTATCATCTTTTGGCCCTTCCTTCTAATCAAATGTTTTCAGAGAGTCTTCTTACATAGATGGAAACAATGACAAAATGGCCACTCATTTGCATTTTATTTAACTTTATTTTTAGATGGAACTGAACTGAAGCCAGTCGCTGTTTAGAAGAACTGCCTACTTCCATCCAGAACTCAGATCCATCATGGCAGCCGGTGTAGCAGCATGGCTGCCCTTTGCCAGAGCAGCTGCTATAGGATGGATGCCAGTCGCCAACTGTCCTATGCCACTGGCTCCCACAGATAAAAATAAGCGGCAGGATGAGCTGATCATTCTTAATGTGAGTGGCAGGCGCTTCCAGACATGGAGGACTACCTTGGAGAGGTATCCTGACACTCTGCTTGGCAGCACAGAAAAAGAATTCTTCTTCAATGAAGACACAAAGGAATATTTTTTTGACCGGGATCCTGATGTCTTTAGGTGTATCTTAAACTTTTACAGAACTGGCAGACTGCACTACCCAAGGTATGAATGCATCTCAGCCTATGATGAGGAGCTTGCCTTTTATGGAATCCTACCTGATATCATTGGGGACTGCTGCTATGAAGAATATAAAGACCGGAAACGGGAAAATGCTGAACGGTTGATGGACGACAGTGACTCTGAGAATAACCAGGAGTCTATGCCAGCCCTGAGCTTCCGGCAGACCATGTGGCGAGCATTTGAGAATCCCCATACCAGCACCTTAGCCTTAGTCTTTTACTACGTCACCGGCTTCTTTATTGCTGTCTCTGTGATCACCAATGTAGTAGAGACTGTACCATGTGGCACAATTCCTGGCAACAAGGAACTGCCCTGTGGGGAAAGATATGAAATGGCTTTTTTCTGTTTGGACACAGCTTGCGTTATGATTTTCACAGTCGAGTATTTGATGCGACTCTTTGCGGCCCCCAGTCGCTACAGGTTCATCAGAAGTGTGATGAGCATCATTGATGTGGTCGCCATTATGCCCTACTACATCGGCTTGGTGATGACAGACAACGAAGATGTCAGTGGAGCCTTTGTGACTCTGAGGGTTTTCAGGGTGTTCCGGATTTTCAAGTTCTCCCGTCATTCCCAAGGCTTGCGTATCCTGGGGTACACACTGAAGAGTTGTGCCTCTGAGCTTGGTTTTCTGCTCTTTTCTCTCACTATGGCAATCATCATCTTTGCTACTGTGATGTTTTATGCAGAGAAAGGATCTTCAGCCAGCAAGTTCACCAGCATTCCAGCATCATTTTGGTACACTATCGTCACCATGACCACCCTTGGGTAAGTGTTGCACTGCTAATCTTGATTAAGGCCACAGGTGCTGATTGATGGGTTTTCATAAGTTTCTGATATTGCATATATGATTCTGTTCTCCTCTCAGAACATAGCTTTAGAAACGAATGCAATGCATTTATTCTTTTATTGTCAACTTCTACATTAGCTTCAACAAAGTAAAGTCTCATATCTTTAAGCAAAGACTACCATGGCAATTCAGCGGCAGTGACAGGCAGTCTATAATGTGAAAATTCTGCTTTCGGCTGTGGTATAAAAAGCATGGACCTGTAAAAATTTCAATTTTGTGTTGATTTAAAGAATCCACTTTTAACATGTTATTCTCTAAATGTTTCTATATTGACTTTGACAGCCATGAAAACAATAGCAAATCCAAAAAAAGAGTAAGTTCTGAAGTGAACCTGACAGAAGTGAGGGGGGAAAACCAGGGGAGAAACAACCCCAGGTGTACAAATAACTAACATGTATTCAACTTTGTTTGAAACCAAATGTATACATATTTTATCCATATACTCTTTCCCAACTATATCTGGTTAAACAAACTCATCAACTCTTCAAACTAAAGGACACCCGGCCACCCTACTTAACATGTGAGCAGAGTGCAAGTATAAAACCATGAAGAAGTCTCTTTGAGAAGACAATAAGAAAATAAATGTGAATCACACACTTCAATGATAATGCTTATTATACTTTTATTATTGCTTACTGTGAATATTAAGCATTGTTTGTGTTTTAACAAACATCCCTAAGGAAAAACATAGTCTTTAACCACATGTAAATGTATCATGTTAGAAAATGTAATAAATATGGTTTGTTGCACCCTGGCATTTTCCCCCTGTCCCTAATTAGATCCAAATATGTACTGGGAGGAGCAGGGAAATTAAGAGCTCATATGATTTTCAAGAACAGAATTAACCTGCTAACAGGAAATCATTCAGTTTATGTTCACTGTTGATGAAACTAAATGAAACTTGATGTCTGCAGAACAACAGAGAATAACACATACTAAAGCCCATTGAAATCAATGGACTTCGTGAAAAAGTTGATATTGGACTCACATGTACAGACTCCAGATAGTATGAATGGGCCAAGACAGATCTAATCACAGACAGAGAAAATTTTGTGATTTTCATTTTGATAGGCAAAATGAGAATTTCATTTATCTTTAAACTTCACATTGATCCTGTTGCACTGTCAGCTTAAGAATGACTGTTATATTTTAGTCTGTCAAATATCAAATGTTCTTTGAAAAGGATATATGATTGAAGAATAAAAACAGTACACAGTGCCTCTATTTTCAGTGCACAGTAAAAAGAATAGCAATAGTAAGTACAAAACTACAACAAAATATTTTAAACTGGCAATTGCTGTACTCTGCATACAAATCTTAAGTGTGAAATCTGGAATAAATGCCTGGATAACAGGGTTGTCTTTGCTGGATGCAAAAAAGATAGCAGGATTGGTAGCAAAGGTAGGCTTCCGTGGGAAGGACAACAAGGAAAGCTGTCTCTGAGGAGAGCATCAGGTGAAGGCTTAAGGGTCTGGGCAAGTGCATACAGCTTTGGATAAGTGATGCTGCTTCTAAAAACAGAAAGCTCAGTTAAAAGAAAAGTATTTCCACTATCATGGGGGATGTTAATAAGATTAGTTGTTTTTCTCTGGATATTTAAAAGAGTCCAACCTTCTGTATGTTGGTATTTAAAATTTTGTTTACCAGACTTGAAAATGTGAAAGTTTTCAGTTGAGCGTGTTTCTGCTTTGGAGTTCATATGTCTTTTGATTTTTAAACTAATAACAGTCACTCTCATGGTGCTTGGTTTTGCAATACAGTTCTCTTGCTTTTCATAGCTTCCTTTTTTTGTATGAACTTTCAAGCTATCACACATTGAAACTACTGAAACATAATTCTACTGTTGAAAAGGTAATCAGTTCTGACTGCTGTTTTCTGGGGGAAATACAGATATGAAACATTAATGAACATTAGGAGATCTGCTCAAATGAATTGCCCTATTGTTTCTAGTGTCAGTGCTAGTGATTTTCTTTTTAATCAGATCTGGACCATTGTCATAACAACAAAACAAACAGAGTGCCTTCCGGAATGAATAATATCCTAGAATTTCGCTCAACCAGTTTTTGGTTTCCTCTGATCAGATCATGTCAAACATAGCGTGGCATTTTTAGCATGTTGCAGTCAACTGGTGAGTGGAGAGATCAGAAAAAACAAAAGGTTAATAATAAAAAAATCAATAAGCACGCATAAATTCAAGTGATGGTGAAAAGTAAAAGGTGTTTTCAAGGACAGGTGGCGATTGCGATGATGATGTCCAATGATGGCAAGAGCTGATAACGTTGTACAAATGTTCCATTTGCTCCTGGTAGCATTCTGTGGAAAGGGGCACATTGCGCAAACTTGTACAGGTACTGAAGGTGGGAAAAAGTACACATGTAACCTGTAGTAAAACACTCTGAGATCACCTTTAATGTTTTACCTCATATGAGTCATATTCATTTCAGCAGGTGTAAACATGCTGCTACACACTTTGCCATGTCAGGGCATGGCTGCTATTAAAAGCTAATAAATGGGGAATTAAGAGCACTGACAACATATTTGAAAGGAGAGGCGTTCTGCTGTTGTTTTGTTTCCCCTATTTTCAATGACAGGGTACTCTGAACTGAAATATACCTTCCTGTCAAAACATACATGGAAGGATTCCATGCTGTCATTTGTTCTCTTTTTGGCTGAATGAAATGCCCTGTGCATAATGAAAGTCCAGACTAACTGGTTTTGAGTATTCTGAAGTGTTCTCAGACTAGGATAATCATAGAAATTATAATGGGAATGCTTTAAACTGCTGATGATGCTAAAAACAAAACAAAAAACTACAGGCACTCAAATGGGGTATTTAACGTTTAAGGAAAGGAAGATCTATTTAAGCTTTCCACAAATGACTGTGCTCCCAAAGAGATTAATGTGTATATATCTGTTATTATTGTTGTCTGGGATGGTTTTAAATGAAGGAAGTTGCTATAGCAATCAGTACATGTAATGTAGATTTCTGACATCGTTTTAAGACCTCTTTGATACGGACTAATAAGGTCAAAACATCAGATAATGTCATGCGGAGGACAGAATCCAATGCTATGTATATCTCTTGCTTTAATCTGTCATGCCTACATGTCATCTGTCATTGGATATATTCAGCCAACTTGTTTAGATTTTTGAGACAGTGCTTCTGTGTATTGTTGCTTTAAACTTTGCAAAGGGCAACTCAAAACCAAGGTGTTTCTGTACATTTCAGGAACTTTTAAGAAATTCTTTCACTTTCCACTAGATTCAAAAAGTGAATGCAAGCATTGACTTCAAAGTAACGTTCATGCATTTGAATTTTCTGAAACTGATGCTGCTGGTGGTGTTAATTAAACTGAAAACACAGAGAAACCATCACCTGGCTACAACTGCTGTGCAAGACTTGCTGGAGCTTAGGTCAGCCTAGATGTCTAAGCAACAGACAGTACCACACAACTCACTCTAATACTGGTTGGTCTGGCTAGTTTTCCTATACTTTCTTCCCTCGTTTGCATCTGGGTGCCGGTGCATAGTTTAAATTTTCTTCCATGACATTCCTCACATAGCCCAGGACTATGGTAGGAGTAGACATGTGGCCCCCTGACGTTAGTGAACTGTAGTACCTATCACTCCTAGGCACTGTAGTCAGTGGTGAGGGATAAAAGGAACTGCAGTCCAAGAATATCTGGAGGGTGGTACATTCCCCATACCTTCTGCATGTGTTGATCCCCAATAGTATCAGAACACTAAAATACTGTATCTTGACAAATCAGCCGTGACTGGTTCTGAGTAACCGAGAGTTCATATTTGATAGCAAATTATATGGGTTCAGGATTGGGCTGCTGCCACCACCAGTTTCCCATTTCACAAGCAAATTTGGGTAAATCCGTGGTGGACATCTTCTGCTCTTCCAGATGTTTTGGCCTACAGCCCCCAGCAGCCCTTGCCAGCATAGTCAATAGGTGCAGGGAGTGGTAGGCCAATACTTCTGAAGGGCTACAATATAGCTACACTGGCATAAGTGGATTTTTTGAATTACCGTAGGTAGGAAAAGAAGAGAGATAAAAATTATTGGGCCTTAATTAAGTTTGCTTCAGATTGTCTCAATCCTACCAAAATAACATATGCATTACACAACATTTATTTAGAGCAAAAGATAAAAAAATAGAGTTGGCAGCTGTACTTGAGGCACACTTAATTCCATTTGTCCCACAAGTTTGAAAATCTTAGCCATATCTTCTAAATCTCTGTTAAGCTATAATCTGGGTCTGGGACACTGTTTCTCTAGTTTATTTTTAAACATAGGAAGTACCAAACTGGAATAGGAGAGTGTTTTTGTTTGAAGGAAGCTTAGGCTTAATGCTTCTGTTTCTGTTGTCCAAGTTTAAGCATGGGGTTAAGCATAATTTTGAAAGGACCTCCAAAAATGCATGAGTGATAGGTAAATTAGAAATAGAAAAATCAACTGATTAAACTGTTTAGATGATAAATAATCTATGCTGTAATCACTTGATTCTTTTAACCAATTGCACTTAAATAAATTTTCAGATTACCAAAATCTTAATACAGACTCCCCTTTGAAAAGGTGAGGGAAATAAAAAAAACCTGTATTTAACAAACAAATATGAAGCAATTATTATTATTATTATTATTATTATTATTATTATTACATTTCTAAGCCGCCCCGAGGCTTCAGCAAGGGGCGGCTTACAACACAATAAAATACATTGAAATACAATAGAACATAATAAATTACCATTAAATACAAAAATACAAAAAATACACTGAGTTACAAACATAATAATATAACATTAAAATTATCAGTATAAAATAAGTAAATAAATAATATAGGAGGAGAAAAGAGAAGGAAGAAGAAAGTTGCCCTGGCCAGATCATATATTTTAACAATTAAAATGATGTT